ATGGGATGGGGGTGTCCAGTCGTCGTGGGGTTTGATTGTTCTCGGCGCAGGCAGGCAGACAGGGAGGGTGCATCTCAGATTTGCTCAACACCAAGAAGCAGCAGTACAGTATGTAGTTAGTGCTCACGGCAGGGATAGGCCGCAGTGGGTACATACAACGGCACGTCGGTAGGTACGTATAGTACACAGGTACCTACCTAGGTACTGTACATACCTTAGCATTCTCCCCTGAATGTGCCGACTCAGCCCCAGGACTTGAGAATGATTAGGTAATCGAATAAATAGAATGTGGCTGAAGTCGACCGTTATTGAGTTCTACCTATTCACATCCCAAGTTTCACATTAGAAAAACGAACCTAACCTTAGTCTAGATGCTAAGGCTGGACAGTAAACCAAATCGTAGGAGCTTAGTGTAGGTTCTAGAGGCAGAATGTAATTGAACGCCCTGCCTCATTAATGAGAGGTTACCATTTATAAGTTGTGTACCGTGTACGTAGATAAAGCCGTACACGAACCTATGATCCTAAGTACAAAGTGTGATCTTAGGAAGACAAGAATGTCGTACCTAGCATCAACTAGGACAGTTGTGGTGATTACCCAGCGGCCCATGTCTGACCAACTCGTGCATGTACGGCGTCTATAAAACAATGGATTATACATATTTTCTCACGTCTGCCGGGCGCGCTCATGGCTAGGCGGAAGCATCATAAACAGATTTCTAAATCAACTCTCGACAATTCATTCTATCAATAGTGAGACCCGTTATCATCTAGACCCAGAGCCAGGCGTAGGCGGCCAGCGTGTATAGCCTTACACTGTGAGCGGTAATAGTACTCGACTGGTATCATTTCTCAATCTAGCCTGCTACTTATGCTGCTACGACCTAATGAAGTGGCATGTAGACTTCGACAGTTCAACAGATGGTGGATGCTGTGACAACCAGGACAAAACCGCCACCAAGAGAAATTCAATTAGACACAAAGGCCTGTCAGGAATTTCTGAGAACTTTACAAGTAGGTTCGTGTGTATCCATAGTACAGGCAAGTAAGCTAGCCGGGCGTCGACTACTGGAAAGTCGGATGGTGTTACGCCTCGAAGAGGCACCAAGTGAACACAAACAGGGTAGAGCGTTGATTGTGTCCCACTAGCTCGTATTTACACCGTTGCACGATAGGACAACGCAACGCAACGAAATAGGTGTTGCTTGATAGTTCTGGCACAACAACGATGGTCTATACAGCCTAGTAATACGGACAACTCCCATTACCTACCAATTGTCTGTACTATGCAATACCACTTCGATATGACAGATATATAGCATACTTCCATGTACCCTAAGCAGACTTCATTTCCTGACGCTGTTGTATAGACTCACTCTGGAGAAATCAGGTAGGTGGTTCCTGAAACTTGCAAAAGACGATGTAGGCAGGAACTGCGCATAAGAAGCAGTTTCACAAAGTCCAGATGCCAGGATGCCTGCATCTTCTATTGTACATAGTACTCCGTACTGTACGGCAGGTTTCAAGCAGCCCACATTCCCACGTTTTTACGATGACAGCAATTCGTACAGCATAAATGGGGGCCCCACGCGGCTCCCCACCTTTCTCCAGTTTCCGGCTTCCAGGTCCCAGTCAGCATTTTCCCGTATTTAACTAGGTAGGTCACAGTACGTCATTGCGTATACCGGTACCTACCTAGAGGTCCATGACTATTTCGTCTACAGTACCCGACCTTGGAATTGATTGATACACAAAGACTCCTACCTACACTAGTCTATGCTGCATGGCACTATTTAGACCCGCCTTCGACACTGATATTGGTTACCAGTTATAACTTCCGAGGCAGATACCTGTGAGGGTTGCATCGTGGCGTAAAGCTTACACTACACTTATCACGATTATTGCTGGCGCTTCTTTACCTAGTAGGTGCTCGGCATAACCCTACATATCAAATCCCAATGGGCTAACATGATGTTAAGTTACTTACTGTACAAAGCATTAGGAAATTGACTCCGCAGCGCCCCAATCGCCCGCCGCTCGCTCAGCTTCCAGTGTTGTCATGCTGCGCCAGTAGCTGCACACTAACTAGTGTGGCTACATAGTCGGCCTAACTAGTGTAAAATCATCTTGGGTGGGCTCGATTTGCTTGCATGTGGATCTGACACACCCTTGACACCCTGACATCCTCGCTGATCAGCCTCCTCCTCTTATTATTAGCTATATGCCTGCTCCTTTTACCAAGCCTACCTCCAGCGATCAGTCATCGATGCATTGCCATTGCGCTTCTCCCCGGCCTCCCAATGCTGACCCTCCAACAGCATAGGGTTAACCCGAGTCGACCACGCAGCTGCGAGGCACCGTTTTATAATCATGGCCGCAACAGTGGCCTCGAATTCGGGGCCAGTGCCAGGAATAGTGCAAGACCCCAACTCGGTCTCCATCACCGCCGCGACGGACACTGCTGGCGGGGCTTCGCAGCAAGATGCTCACGGTAATAGCGAGGATGCGGGGCCCAAGGTACCACCGCAGCAACAGCGAGTGAAATTGAGCGACTTTTCTCTCGTCCGAACACTCGGTACCGGTATGTCCTTTATTCTTTTTGCATCGCTTCTTTCATTGCTTTTTTTCTGTTATTATAGCACGTAGAATAGACCCGTCTTGCGCGCGCTGGTGTTGGTGTTGGTGTTAGTGAGACGATAAACCACGGCCACTAACACGAAGACGTCGTTCGTGGCGTCCATTAGGAACCTTTGCTCGAGTCTGTCTTGTCCGTCCATCTGTCGGGAGCGATGAAAACAAAGAGCAAGTTTTTGCGCTCAAGATCCTGCGAAAGACCGAGGTCATCAAGCTCAAGCAAATCGATCACGTCAGAGATGAGCGCCGAATTCTCAGCGATGTCACCGGCCACCCCTTCATCACGAGGCTGATTACTACCTTTTCCGACTACGATTCCCTCTATATGCTCCTCGACTATATTCCCGGTGGTGAACTATTCAGTTATTTAAGGAGACACCGCCGGTTTCCGGAAGAGTGGGCGCAGTTCTACGCGGCTGAAATTGTTTTGGTGCTCGAGTTTCTACACGAACACCAAGGCGGCGTGGCATACAGAGACCTCAAGCCCGAAAATTTACTATTGGATGGGCAAGGTCATGTCAAGCTTGTGGATTTCGGTTTCGCCAAGAGGTTAGGAAGTAAAGGCGATAGGCCAGTCGAAACCTATACTCTCTGCGGAACTCCTGAATATCTTGCGCCTGAGGTGATCCAGAACAAAGGCCATACTACAGCAGTGGACTGGTGGGCCTTGGGGATTCTAATAGTGCGTAATTTTCGGTGTTATTTCCTTGTTAATTTGGTAGCTCTAAGAGTCCGAATGTCCCTTCTCCGTATGAAAAGACCTTCCACGCTTATAAATAATTGCAGCTCACTCCTCAAGCGGCGTTAGCTGACTCCGAGTGTAGTACGAGTTTCTTACCGGATACCCCCCATTCTGGCACCAGAACCCAATCGAAATTTATAAACAGTAGGTCCTCTCGATTGCCTCGTACGCTGGCTCCCTTATCAACTTGTCTAGGATTATCGAGAAGCCGGTCCTTTTCCCTCAGGAGCCACCTATCTCTCCAAATGCACAACATATCATCCGGTCGTTTTGCACGGTCGATCGCTCAAGGCGGCTAGGAAACATTAGTGGTGGTTCTCAACAAGTGAAATCTCATCCGTTCTTCCATGGCATCGACTGGCAAGCTCTCTATCGCCGCCAAATTCGCCCACCTATTCAGCCCAATGTACGGCATCCTGCTGACGCGCAATGTTTTGATGTATATCCGGAGGACGACGGCAAGAGAGACCCATATACCGAGTCAATGGTTCGTCAATTCGACCATTTGTTTGACAACTTCTAAAATTCCATGACGAGACGATTTTACGCCTGCTTCAACCGCAGAAGTTCATGATACTCGAGGGACGGTCAAAGCGTCTTGCAACAGACCACGGTGAGCTAAAGAGCGGGCTCTTTCATGATAACGTTCTCATTTCAATACCGTACACAGTAACAGGGTCATAGGGTTGAAGATATGGTAAGCGCGATGTCCCCTTCACAGCCTTTCGCATCGTAATCTAAGTTTAAATAGTATAAGTTCATTCCCACATGAGCTTAGCACTGTATTATAGGTATCTAGCCGATTTAGCGATTTGGATTATAACGACCGCTCAAAATTAGCATCGCCGTTTCTACTTATGAATAGAAGAGGTGATCTTGAACCCGAGTCCTATCTGTTGTGTAAAGATATAGCTATTACATAGCTAGGAAATTTTTGTTAAATAAAGTCATGGTGACTTTTGCTAATGGTGATTTCATATGACAAAAGTACTAGAGTTAGGAGCAAATTATACCCAGCAGATCAGAAACTCAAATGCCAGTAGTATCAGACCTGCATGATATTGGAGTGGGAACACAGGCCGGTCTGCCGTTTTAAACTTTCTACTTCAAAGGTATAGAGATCTAGCCCGAAGTTACTCTGCTGTTTCTCTGTTAAGCGCGTGTAAGATGATAGCTCAACTGTTTGTGATTAATCTGCATAGGGCTTTGAGCTAGAATTACTATTCAGCGTGAGCCGTAACGTATTGATCATATAGAGCGAGGTTATTCTAAACAGTTATGCAGTTGATCGGTATAATGCATGATGTTTCTGTTGCATTAGACTTCTTAATATACTTCGGAAAGCCAAGCGCCAACAACGAAGACCCTTTTAGCATGTACATAAAAATCATCAACGACGACCACATGCCTCCAAGCAACCTTTTCGATATGGCAGACGCCTCCAAGCGCTGTCTGCTACACATCACTGCTATACCCGCCACAGATTGGTCTACAGCATTAACACGAAGAGTATCACCACGAACGAGCACCCACGCGTCCCTTTCATTTGGCGAACATGAGACAGGAAACACCAGGGTCCAAAGGAGTCTGACGGGCCGTTACCGAACAAAAAAACAGTTGTTCACGGGCTAATGGTTTAATGGTATAATAATCCCTTAGCATGGGAGTGGTTCGAGGTTCTATTCCCCGTCAGTCCATCGCCGGAGGTTCAATTCCTCCTGTACCATTCTGTCTCTGATCTTTAATATTTTTCGGGTTGGTAGTCTCGCGAGCATAGCTCTACAGTAGCCCTACATTAAGAGTGCATGCTTGTTTTGGACTAGAAGGGGGGGGCTTGGAAGCTTAACTTATTTGGGAATAGTTCCGTAATATTGCTAAGCCTTAACCACGTACTATGTACCTGCATGTAGGTAATGCTGAATACTGCGTAACAGTCCCAACATCAATTCACTGGCACTTTTCCGTCATGGTTCATATTTTGTTTCCTATTGTCCAAGATTAGCACTTCATACAAGCCAAGAATATATTTTGTGGTTCCCAAGGTTCAAAGTGTAATAGTGAATAGGGAAAGCCTACCGACACTCGGTAGTCTACTGAGACACGGGAAAATGCCACAACAGGAAAGCCCCATGATCAGCTAAAGGTTGGAATCCCAAACAGATACAACTTTAGAAAAACGCCCTTTTTAGCTACTCATTCACGATCATTTTCTCAACGAGGATAACATTTCATTTCCCATGCAGGAGATCAAAAACCACGAGACTACTCAACTCTTCTTTGAGGATTTCCCCGACAGCGACTATCATCCTCCATTATCACCTACCAGTACGGCTGAATCACCGGCTTCTCAGGAAGTCTCCCCTGTCCATACAACCGAAGATATTGACCGTGTTACGCTGTTTGGACTTCAGGTTATCACCCGAGAGCCTACGCCAGAACCAGAATGTCAACCTACGCCCGAGGTAGTGGAACCGTTATCCGACAAATCCAGCTCCGCCTCACCCACATCTACCGTATAGTGCGGAGGTGCTGCCTCACGTCCTGTGCCCTAACCAGTTCTGCTGTGCTTAACCCAAGGTAACAAAATATTTCCATAATTTGAAACCGATGTCCAGTGTGCATACGCAAGCCGGACCTCGAGGACATCAACGACCTCAAGCGACCTGGTATCACCAACAAAAACTAAAGGGCCGTCGCGAGGCTGAGCGAATCTTTGAGTTGGAATCCTGATCTCGTCTACATGTTTCGTCAGCCGATTCTCATATTCACAAAGGTCAAGAGTCCAGTGTTGAATATGCACGAGCTGCTCAGCCCTCTTGCCATTTCGGTCTAGGACACGCAGTATTCGAACAACTTGGTCCTCCGGAGAAGTAGGCAAGACTCTACGCCTCAGCTATGGCTTCATGTCAATGTGTAAGATTAACTACGCTAAAGGTAGGAACGCGACATAGAATTAATCGAACATAAGCAATTCTGATAAGCAAACACGTAATAAGAAGATGAAAGATATTGTAACAAGGGCTTGGAAAAGTATTCGAATTGCGATAATCTTCTATGGCCTCAAGGGACCGTGAGAATCCTATCTCCTCCTCCGCCAACTGGGAGGCCTCGCGTATTATTGCCGACCCTTCGCTTCTAGCTGTGTTGTATTGCTATCTCGCAGAGATTAAGCAAACGCGGGTAAAAGCCTTACATAAAATCTTACACTCGTATAACCGTATACATGATATGCAGATCCTGTGTTAAAAGATACAGCTGGTTAGTTCGATATTAGAAGCCGACGTCCATCTTGAGTCAAGACGATCAATATTAAGAAACTTTGGGAGAAAAGTGAAATCACAGTTGCTTAGGTAATCAAGGCAACCATACCCAGGTCTGGTGGTCTAGTGGTATGATTCTCGCTTAGGGTACACCCTATGCTCATATATGCGAGAGGCCCCGGGTTCAAATCCCGGCCAGACCCTTTTTCTCGTGCCGTTTTTTTTGTCCTTTTTTTTTTTGTCTACATTTGCTTTTATTGAAACAAGCAGCGAGCTCTATGCCTTAGGTAGTTATGTCGATGTAATATGTACTTAGTATGCAATTTGTTGCGAAAGATAGCCTTGCCCACTCGGCTGCAATGGCTGCCGGCTGATTGATTAGATGATGAGACGCGTCGTGATCACGCCATGAATCCCCTTTCGTGCTAGCTTGGTAGCTGGTATAGGTACCGTACTTGAAACAAGCAAGGGGACGAAATAATGCCCATCTATCTACAGTATCTACCAGCTGGTCGGTATTTGCGTATGCTGCATCCAGGTAACATTGTGTAGACATTTCCACTAATCGTTATCACTCAAACCAAAGATCGCCCGTCGAATAGCTAAGGAGCAACGAAGCGAGTTGGATTTAGTAATCTTCAGAGATCCTCCTCGATAATCCTCCGCCTCATCCTTCCATATGTCGAGGATGCTGGCATACGCCAAACCATTCTCGAGTCGTATCTAGCGAGTCTAGGTCGTATATGTATGTGGCTGTACACTACAGCAGCACCTTTCCCCCTTTAGCTAAATGTAGGACTGTCAACACTGCTGGGCTAAATTTGTGCACTCTTGGCAGCGTGACGTACGGTAAGTTCACAGTATGTGTTCTCCCGGCGACAGTTTGTCTTAGTGTATCCGTACTCTTTCCTCCCTCCATCCGAGGTTATTCAATCAAAGTACGTAGTTGGTTATGAAGGCTTTCCATCAAATTTTGATATGCATTAAATCTTGCCCCGCGGCTCGCAGCGCTTTTGTCTCTGCCGATTAGCCTTCTCACATTTTCCGATGGCAGACCAAGGTAGTTGGTGGTCCTATCACTGTGGAAAGTGGAATGCGACCAAGTCTATCTTACGATGCATCAGTTTTGCTTTGAGTATCATCGTGATTGGCCTGTCTGTGAGCAATGGCGTTCGCGTCAGGAATTGGTCCGAATACCAGAATTACTTCCGGATTGACTGGTGGTTTACCCTCCCCGTTGTACGTCGCCATCTGCCCAACACTTCTCTGCTCTGCGCCCTGGGCTTACTTCGTCTACCTCTTAGACACTACTCAGCATCGTCGTCGACTGCGCCGAATTGACGTGCACCGTTCTACGGAAACGGAACCCCGGCATCCCGCCCGGTTGGCACATCGGTATCGAGCTTGTTCTGTTAGGTGGAAATATTGTCGCCCTCATCTTCATCGCAAGCCTAATCCCCCCCGAAGACGGATATACGTACGGGGCCCAGGCTCCCCTATCTCTCCGACCGTTTCAGATAGCGTCGGTGTCCTTCCTGGGACTATTCACGTGAGCGATGATAATCACCTAGTTACATCGCGATACTAATACCGCGGGATAGTGTCGTCCGATTCATTCTTTTTGTGATCGCTTGTGTAGACACGCATAGATATCACACAGCGGCTCAGGTGGAATTAATAGTACAAGCGCTACGACGACAAAACCTCGACGATCCTACAACAGCCGCCATAATACACAATCTCACCTATCCTACGAACTACATAGACCACCGACAGCCTGCCTCGTCCAATGAATTTTCCTATACGACGCGGCCCACGCAAGACCTCAGCGACGAGTCCACGCTTTATCGCGAATTACCCGACAACCAGAAATTTTTGGTCTCTGAACTGCCTCCTAGAGTATATAGAACAACTTGATGTTTTAATCAGCAGTTGCGTTGCGCTCTCACCTGGTCCAGATCGTCGAAGTCAGGGCTCGTCCAAGCGTATCTCTCAGGATTTCGACTGGAGTTGGCCTCGTATCTTTTAGGACGTCTTCGAATAGTTTCAGTCTGAGTCAGTCTCGGTGGTCGACTTCCAGTTCATGATACCCTACGGCACGAGAAACTCCGTCTCACGTCTCACCACAGCCGTCACAAAGTCAGTTGTTGACGAGTTTCAAACACGGTCGCGGGTCGCCCTTCAGTGTCGCGGATCCCGTTGAATTGTGTCGCAGACCACGCTCGCTTCTATTTTGAACTATGCACCGAAAGGCGACCGGTGTACTACGTTCTCGCAGTCTCACTCCTTCGAACACAACAGCCGAAGTTTGCAGAATCATATACGAGTCCAGGTTCCTTTGGCGCATAAAAATTACGAATATAAGGACATCTGCTGCACAAGCTGCTGTTGCTGTTGCTCCTACCAGCCGCCGATGTTTTTGGTTGGAAGGATTAGCCCAACACTAATGCAAGCCTAGTGCCAGTTATGCATGAGGAATGAAAATGAGGGTTGGATAGGGACACTGGTTTACGGAACCCACCCTTCAATCGGCTAATTGGTGAGGCGCTGACTGAACCCACCATTTCAGAATCAGCCCGAACATTGAGGATGATTAAAGAGTCGAACGCTTCTCTACTTATAGAGTTGGTTCGAACAAGACATATTAATAACTAAAGTTGCCTTAGGCAACCACGGCCGGGCATATTAATAAACTAATATTGACATACGCAATACCACAAGACTTCATTATTTTAGGTTTCGGCCCTATTTTAGACAAAGTGGAAGAGTGCAAAATGAAACTGGACTTTGCAGCTTCCAGGTTCGCGTACGAAAGATAAATTTTGATATCATGTATTTATCAGACATGCTTTACCGGAAAGGGGCACGTGTGGCCTTCAGAAACGGGCGATGGATTGGGATCTTAGAACAGCGTAAATTTTCTCAATAGAAGGAAAACATGAGGGGGCATTGCCATCACCGGTGGACCAAGGTACCAAGACCAGCCTTAAAGGCGTTCGCATATCCTAAGTTCACAAAGGCGCAGTCCAATAATAATTAGCACGCATTACTCAACAAGCAATCATCATGCATGACAAGAAGCAATCAAGCATCACGTCGCTTGCCGCGTATGAGTACCTGTTTGCGCTTGCTTTCTAATAAGCGCCAGTTGTAGGATTTTGAGCGCGCCTAACATCAAGCATACGAAGTTCAACCCAAGATTGGGTGGTAGGAAGCAAGAGAGTCAAGCAATTTATCAATAAGTTTGATTTTCTTCCCCGTAGAGAAATTGTGAACAATGAGTCTTGTTGTTCAGGTTTCCTACTGCTCCTTTCAAGGGAGCTTTTGTTATTTTACCTGGTAGCCCGTGGTGGCTCACCAGAACTATGAAGGAAAAGCAGCAAGAACAACACTTCACGAGGACAGTACTGGTTAGATCATTTGGGTACAAGTCCTGG